ATCTCACAAGGTCTGTTTGAATTTCATGTGAATGAAAAGTGGTGCATAACTGAGAAGAGGAAGTTGGAAAAGGCAGCGCAACAATCTGGGGAGGGTTTTCCCATCTTGTAAATGAAGTTCAGGGTAAACTAGTGCCTTCAGATGTTGCCTAATAGAGTTTACATATGTCAGTGAAAATCCACCTGTTCTACAAAGCCATGAGAGGTTTGTTAAAAATAATTTATGAACAAACAAGTAAAAACAGCACACAGTTCAAAGAAAAAAGACAAGGAAGTTTAAAGGTGGCTTCTCACCTGATAGTCCTGTAGATTTGATTTGATTTGGGGTCAAATCTGCAGTATCTTTGTTTTGTATTCAAGCTGGTGTGGTTCACAGAGTCAAATGATCCAAACCCGTTCTCCTATTCGCCTGTGGTGGCACTGCACCAAGAACCACTGAAGAAAACGACTCAAAAACCTAAGACATTGAGTGCAACTTCCTCCTTCACTAAATGTAACCAAAAATGAAGTGGCATCAGATTTTAGGGTTTGTAGGATTTCTCTTTTGTCTTTGGCAAAAGATCATGAGCCTTTTCTCCCGCTAGTGTTAGAAAAGCGTGTTTGTTTTGCTTGCATTTGCCCAGAATGCTCTACAGTATAGCCCGCTTCCTGCTTTTGGAGTGGTCTCTGGTCCACTTGGTATTCGAACAGCACCAAAGTTGTGTTGTTTCCTTCAGTGGTTCTTAGCGCCACCACAGGTCAGGGGAAGAATAGGATTTTTTCAAAGGGTTTGGATCATTTGATACAATGTGTACTGACAGGGAACTACAGCAGCTCAAAATATAACAAATGTAGCAATTTTAGTCCCCAATAGAACCGAGTCTACTGGACTATTAAGTGTGAAAGCACCCAGAAACTCATGGAGTACCCCACTAAACCTGAGAACAATTCCTCAAAGAAGAAGCCAAGAGGCCCTTGGTAGCTGCGTTTAAGGAACTTACAGAACATCTTGATAAAGATGCACTTAATGCATTTACAGAATCACCTCGACACCTCCTGACAGACTGCTTCAGCTCAATGGATGCGAACAAAGCATGAGGCCAAGAGACACTTTAAGTCTGTCTGGAGGTTTTATGTTTGTGTGGTGCTGCCATGGGTGACCAACACTCATCCAAACATCCTGCACTGAAGCTCAGCCTGGTTTCTAGGGTTCTACTGTCTTCTTTCCCGCATAAGTTATTTTGTAATCTTAACCCTCCCAGGTTGGTCTTTCAGGATAAAAACATACAGGTTTTGGTCAAAGTAGTTCAAAACTAAAAACTGTTACGCTCCAAACAATATTGTTGTGACAACTTTAAAGCAGATATTTGGGAATACGCATGGCTATTTTGCCATATTTTAAGCAGTTTACAAATCTGCACCTCACTTATCCTCTCAACTGAGGGGTCCCTAATCTCTGTTTGCTCTGTAACCCCCCCTCACAGCTTTCATCAGCTGTTGTCTCTTGTCAACACACATGAAGTCCATTCTGGTCACTGGATATCAGCCAGTATCAGCTCTAATCTTGGAGCTCTTTTTAACAAGATTTTTAAACCACAGTTGTCTCTGCTGTTGGCTTGTGAACTCCAACCCGAGGCTTAGACTGAGCCACTTATACCAGTTGCTGCATGCCTCAACACCATTACATGTAAGCACGCCTGCAACCTAAGCCTTAAGAGGTTTAACGATCTATTTAATTTCATTATCATCAATTTGATTGCCTCAAGATGAGAGGCGGCATCAACAAGCCCCGACACAGGAGAACAAAAACAGTGACTAAAGGGAGATGTTTCTTTAAATCTTGTGGGTTGCTTCATGGTTACTAAGCTTGGCAACAGTAGCACACTAAGTAGTTTCACCACATATAAACAAAGCTGAAGTTACTCCCTTTCGCTTTGATCTACGTTGCTTCTATCACCACCAAGAAAAGAAATGATACTTAATGTTTGTTCTGTAGCAGGCGCCCAGCAGGCAGGTTTAGCAGGTCCTCCTGCCCTCCAGCTACACCTCCCACTAAAACCATTGGAACATGCACGTGTGTGCTAACACACCAACTAAAATCCATTTTATATTGCCTCAGAGTTTCACAACCATCTGTTTTAATGTAAGGGTAGAGCATACGATCCTGATACAGATATATACAGCTAATGGTTTGTTTTTTTAATTCCACAGTGCAGGTTTGAAAGACTGTCTTCTTTTAAGTAAGCTAGAGTCTTAAACCATCAGCTAGCAGGACCCACCAAGACCAGCTTTTCTAATGTAAAGTAGACTGCAAATGCAACTTAAGTGGCTTTTTAGTGCTGTATGATTTTTTTTTTTTTTTTGTCTTTTTCATGGCAGCCTGAACGGACCAATTCCGATATTTTCACTCAAAAAAACAATCCAATTTGTGCCACTTCTATGCATGGTACTAAATCGATATGTATACTTTTCAAAATGTCTGCAGACAGAACGGTCATGTTGCATTTTATCTAACTTTTACGTCATTTCTTCTGCACCAGAAAAAAACACAACTGGTAGCTGACTTCTTCTGCAGTGTATTTTTCTGATTTGTTCAGGTGAACAGAAACCAACAGCTCATCAATAGAACGTCAACACTCCAATTTACTTTAGCTTCAGTTAGGCCTGTCACAGTCAGTGACGTGCGGTAAGGGGAGGCAGGTGAGGCAGAGCCTCACCTGTCATCATGGAAAAATAATATATAATAATAAAATCATTTAGAAAGATATTTTCACCCTGTGGTTTGTACTATAAAGTACCTATTTTTCATTTAATTTAACCAAATCTGATGGTCTTTTTCTTCAAAATCGCTGAATTTTCTTATTTTCCCATTCAAATGCTTAGAAGCGAAGCCGGTGAGGCAGCAGTGAGCTGAGCCTCACCTGGGATTGCGCAACCTCTCGCTAACTGCACCGGTTGCCATTCTATGAGAGCATGCTCCTCCTGTCTGTATGTCGCCAATAAAATGGTTAAAAACATTTAATGTATGAGCTGATTTTCCATAATTTAGCTTATGTATTTAATGTACTGTGTTTTTATTGTCACCAACTGTGTGTGTGTAACGTGTTTCGTGTGCTGAGGAGCGATCAGAAACGGCAGAGAACAGATTCGAGGTGAGGCAGGCAGTTCTCTTGCCTCATCGCTGGGGGCGCTCATGAACCCAGACATTGGTGACTCCACAACTGCAGAGTAAGAGACAGTAACAGCAAGCTAGCCATACAGTAGCTGCACTGATACAGAGAGCGAGAAAGACGTGGTTTTGAGTTGTACTTTAAGGGATTCTCCCTTTGCTGTTAAGCACAGCACGAAATTAATAATATCTACATGTCTAAGTTTGATTGAGATAACGGAATTATTCTGCGGCGGCGGCGTGACTAAGCATCACGTGTTAAAGAATAGTTTTTTTGCCCTCCAGCATTGTACGCATGCGCAAAATTTCCTTATGTAAACAATAAAATGCAGGGGTCTAGATTTGTAAATCTGATTATAATTAAGTCGGTGCCTCGCCAGGTATGAACCTCACCGCACGTCACTGGTCACAGTAACACATTTTGCTGGATGACAAATTGTCCCAGAAGTTATTGCAATAAATGATAATATTGTTGTTGTGAGATCATTTTCAAGTAATAATGATGTAATGTCCAAATGATGCAAGAACACATTCTCAGAGATCATTAAACTTTAAGTTCCAATGAACATTTAAGACTGGGACATTTTAAATATGCAAAATAAATCAACAAAACAGAAACAACAAATAACATGATTTATTCAAGACACTGTAAACAAAATTGTCCTTAAAAAAAGAATTGAGTCCAGAGTGAAGACTTTTGTCATCCAGCTTTTGGTAGAAAGAAAGAGAGAAATAAGAAAAAAAAACGATAAGAGAATTATTAAGCTAGTCTTAATATATCATGTGATTAATAGATTTATTGCCTAGTGGAGCAGGCCTCAATCTGTCTATCTCTTCCTTTCTAAAAGAAAATCCAAAGAAAGGTCCAAAACATCCAGATTAATTACCACAAAACAATTTTTTGCAGCATCCTAAATTAGATTTTCCCCAATTTCAAAAAACACAAAATTCCCCACAAAGCATCTTTTAATGAGCAATGATGATGCACTTTTATGAGCAAGTACAGGCAGACATGTTGGGAAAGTGATCAAGTGCAAGCATGGCAAATATTGTATTCAAAACAACAAGAAAGGAGAAGAAGAAATCAACAATGCTTCTTTTTTATGATGACCAGAACAGAAACAAAGAGACACTAGCTTCTCCTTAACAAGTCCATCTCTGCCTCCTTACCAGATGGGTGGGAGTGGCTCTTTTCAACATGACAGCACACTGCAACGTAATCATTCCCTAATCTCTACATTTCCTTGTAAAGCAAGCTCGCAAGTCGGATCTGATTGGAATAAAGCTTAACAGTGAGATCCATCACTGGATTCTCTACTGAAAGAGTACAGACAAAAAGTAGAGTTGACAGATGAACTGAATGCTCCACCGCTCCTCCTCCTGAAACGTGGCTGACCGTGAAGCTCTTCTTTCAACGATTATCTGTCTCTCTGCGGGCGGCCCTGAGGACAGACCGGGCCAGGCCAGGCTGCTGGACAAACGGACTCATTCTCTTTGTCTCACCGTGTCTGGAAGCTGAGTCGCTGCAACAGATAAACATCACTCCTCCCAGCGCCTGATGCCGCGTGCAAGGGGACGGAGCTTGTGCGTGCGCACCTGAGCTGAGCGAAAAGTGTTTCTTTGTTTTGCTACATCCCACATAAAGCCTAAAAATCTCAACCTAAACCATAATGTCTAAAAGAAATGCCTCCCTCGCAATAAAATGATTGGAGGCAGAGGACGTCTCTGGAGCAGCATCCGCTGCTGATGACCTGTAGATGTTTGCTAGGCCCGCGGCGCTGACTGACAGGTGGCACCGGGCAATTAAGACAGCTACGCATTTAGTAAAATGATGGAGACGTTCAGAGACTTACCTCAGTGCCACGCGGACTGAACTTTCATCCTGTCCCGTCGTCATTGCTCCGTAAAAAGAAAAGAAAAAAACTGTCGAAAAACTATAGTATTGCAGCAACAACAACAAGAAATGTATCTTGGCTTATTTCCCTTTGGATTAAAAAAAAAAAAAAAAATGCAAGAAAGCAGTGCGCACTCTCTCCTCGGTACAGGCAAACGGCGCTTCTCACCTCGAGATCAGTGTCGTCATTTTGAGACTAGCTGAAAAATAACCTTGAAGGTGTTCAAACCATGGTATGAGCTAGAAGTTAAGTGATGCACCGCATCTTTGTGCCGCTCTGGCCGGGTGCTTCAGCTTCGGCTGAAGCTCGACATGCACACTGAGAGAGAGCCGCTACGGCTTTAGCTACGGGGAAAGTCATGCGCGCGCGCAGAAACGCACGTTAAAAAAAAAACGCATCCGCGCGCTGCCATTCCTCTTTTTTTCTGCTCGGTACACACCGGGAGGGAGCCGCAATGCGTCAGCAAGCCACGCCCTCTCTTACTTGGAAAAATTCCCGGCGGAATGACGTCATAGAACGGCTTTGGGAGAAAAAACAAATACAGGTGTTTGAAGGAGTTTATTCCATGTAGCTTTATTATTCACACCTTCCTCTTCGCTTTGCCTTCGCTTTGCCTTAATATTAGCACTGTAAGACCACTTTATTTATTATTTTATATAATCACAACTGTTGCAATTTCAATTTTTGATAGTTTGAAATGTACATTGTTTTATCTTTTTTCCTATTTCTCGTGCTTTGTACAAATCAATAGAAGCATATTTTTAATCCATTTATTCCCCATGTTCTATAGAAAAGCATAAATGTGAACACATATTTTTATTATTATATCAACTTTAATAAGTTGATTTTCTTATCACAAATAAAACAAGTGGTCCTTAAAAATATATATAAAAACAAAATCAGTTCACGTGTTTTTTTTTTTTTTTTTTTTTTTTTTGCCTATTAAGCCAAAATATGTAATTTTTCCTTTTATAGTAAAATACAGTAAGTAGAAAAGTAACTGGTTAGATTTCCTTGTAAAAATAAAAACAATCATAAAAGAATATTTGTCCCACTTTAAAATAAATATAGATGAACAAGATAGTATATCTTACATTATATCAAACATTTTGATGATTCACAGCAGGAATTAGATGTGGAGAATGTCAGAATTATAAGAAACAGATCACTTATGTTTTTTTTAATTGCCAGTAATTTTATTATCCTTTTAAACATTAAAAGCAAATCAAACTAAATTTATTCATGAAAATCCGATCCAGCTGCAAGCTCAGAGAAAAGTGAGATATTGACATTTTCAAGGAAAAAAATAGAGATTTTATAATCTCATATGACTCGTTAATGCCTATTGATTTGTATAAAGCATGCTTTTTTCTTTTATACACATTTGGTATTCTCAATTGAGAATATACAGTGGACATAATTCTAATATTTATTTTGAAGCTGAGGGTGATCTTGACTTGTGCTCCGCTACTCTTTAACATCAGAAGATCATATCAGAGGAGCCAAAAATGGAGCCACTTTTCAACAGACCAAACCAATGGTGCCATCTTGTGGCTTCAGAGGGAAAAAACAGTGACACAAAGATTTGTGTTGAGAGCCACTTACGTTACGATTACTTATCTTACTTACATCCCCGTACATCATGAGGCTTCATCTACCACTACAGCCCAACATTTGTCTTCTAATGGAAGCATAATAATATGTTATCTGTCAAAATTTGACTGAAATCCTCTCTGATAATGCTAAATATCATATTCTGTAATTAACACTTGTTTGGTTGTTTACTGAATTGGATAACTGATAGTTGGAGAAACACAGCATACCATTATTTTGTGCATGGGAGGACTGCACCCAGCCTGGCACTTCCTCTTCATGCTACTTTATTTTTGTAATATTACGACTTTATTCTTGTAATTTTATAATTTTGATTTTCTTAGAGTGGCCATAACACAAATGTGGCAACATTTTAGAGAAAATAAAGAGACTTTCCAAACAGTGTGACATTTACTGGCACAATTCATTGTCACAAAAACAAAAAAAAAGAAAAAGAAAAAAATTATCAAATGTATGTACTTTTTGTAGCAGCAAGTTCATTCGTACCTCAGACACAATTATTCTAGCAGAAAAGGGAAACTTTGTCAACGTCTGCTGGCAGAACATAATCTTTTATTTTTGCACTTTGCGTTGTTTTACATCGCAAAGCGTCGGAATGCGTTCATAGTTCATAGAAAACAGTTGCCACCATAAAACATACAGATACAAAGGTCTTCCAGTGTGCTGGACATTTTCTGCAATTTGCAAACACCTCGAGTATAAAAAAATCAACAACGTAACAACGGTTTAAGTAAGAAATCCTGTACAGTTTGAAAATACCCACAGTAACACAAAATCAAATAAGCACAAAATTACTGTGTAAAAAAACGACTCCTGTTTTTATGTTGTTCAGGGACACTTGGCCAAGATTATCTGAGCTGCAACAACAAGGACATATGATTCATAACAATGTTACAAAATAAAGGCAAAGCTTTTAGCACTTCACCATGAGGCTGTACTTACAGTGATATAGGCTATGGCGCAGTCTGAGTCCACTGCTCCATAATGTGCTGGCCTGTAATCTGAAGACTGCTATAGAAAAACAATAACAATGTAGGAACACGTACACTTTCTAAAATGTAAGAAACAGTTAAAAAAAACAACAAACTAAACATTTGGCTTACATAGTGCAGACTCCCACCACGAAAACAGCAAACCACAATTGGTTGTTTTCTTCCCCCACCAGCCCAGATTAGGAGAATAAAACCACGTTAGTGAATTTGAGAAGAATGTGTTTTGTGACGTGACGGAAATCGTTGGGAATCTTCATGGATCTTAAGAGCAAAAACACATTCTTGCCGGTGTCCCGTGTTTGAACTCTCCCAGGCTAAACCACAGAAGTAGGTGTCAGACTGAAATCATGCAGAGTTTGCAGGAGGTGTAAATCCGCGTATCTTTACGCTCCAGAATGGCTGAGGAGAACTGAAGGTTTGGTACCTCTAATCTTTTTTTTTTTTTTTTTTTTTTTTTTTTTAAATTTTTTCCCCCTGAGTTTGGGTTAATTTTTAGGAAAAAGGGGTTTTTGGGG